CTGTTATTATTACCATTAATGTTATTAATGTTGTTATTCTTGTTAACATCATTATTATCATGATAATTGAAGAAAAAATAACTTCAAATTATTTTCTAATTTTGGTATGTTTTTTAAAAATAATGTTGTTTACTTGAATACATTTTTGAAATTATTATATTCTCAAAGATTTCCAAATTATCTTAAATATATCGAAATTCTTTTTTAGTTTTATTGCAATTCAATTTCAATTTGAATGTTGACCAATGGTCATTTTTGCATTATTTCTTTTAGTATGATTTTGTTTGTTTTGTATTGATAATTTTTTGCTTTATATATTAATATATTACCAATTTATCTAACTTTTTCGATGAAATGTTGATGAAATGAAATTGAGCTAAATATGTGCGACAAATTTATTTTACTATCCAAATATTCGCATATCAAGAAAAATTATCTATCAATTTCAAATCAGTAATTCATCTCAGAGTAGCGACTAACGATTGTTGTCGCAAAAGTGATGGAAACATTGCTATGCACAGTTTATAATTCATTGAGCTTTTGTCATCTCCAAGTGATTTATGATTATCACTATGTAGGAATCATTGATATTCTTGATAAATTATTAATTAAGATGGCTGAGATGTTTATTGGTATTAGAAATCTATTTAAATGATTATCAATATCAGGAATTATTATTGCTAATGATCAATTGTCATATCTTTTTGATGATTATTGACCAATAAATAACTACTTCAATTAGTAATTAATTAGAAATTTTTTTTTAAAGCTTTTCAAAAAGGAAAAAAATCCAAATATTTGTAAGTTCAATTCCACTTACTGATTTTAATAATTAGGGAAAAACATAAATGAACGATTTTTAAGTTATGAATTGTTTCAATAAATTACCATATATATCGGTAATTAAATTAGTAAATGAGAAAAAAGTAAATGAATAAGAAAAGTAGATGAAAAAGTAAATGAAAGATTTTGTTTGATAAATGAAATAAATGAATTTTAGACCAAAAATTTAATTAGTTAATTAAAATTTAATTAGTTGATTCTTTAATATATATATGGCAACTAATGTTACGTACCTGATAAATGATAAATATCAAACAAGATAATTATCTAATATTTAGCGTATATATTAGATACAATGCTATGTTTGAAATGATTGGATAATATATTCTTCTTATCTACCTTTACTGATAATTATCATTCATATATGTGTTCCAACAAATTAATCATCTATTATTGTTATTAAATCACAAAAATTTTCCTAAAAAAAGCAAATAAAATTTAATATCTTCCATAGTATACCTTAGTTAATTATTGCTTAGCAGTAAGTTAATTAATTTAATTAAGTTAATTTAAGTAAGTTAATTAATTATTGCTTAATATATGTAATAATCGATATTTAAAAAAATCCCTCACTTCAATTCTATTTTAGCATATGTTTGTGATAAATTTATAAAAATATCTTTTAATCTATTTTAACTTAATGAGAAATTTTAATAAAAAAAAAATTAAGTGACAAATTTATAAAATTTTTTTTTTAAAAAAAAACTTCAAAATATTATATTATTATAAATTTTATTGTTGTAATAATTTGTTTAATTTATCATATCATTATTAGAAAATTAGCTAATTTAAAAGTTAGCATCAAAAGCATTTTTTTTTTTTGCTTTCAATGCTTTAAAGTGCGATTATTTCAAAGCCTATTTTAAGATATACTATTTTAAAAACAATTTTAGTAGCTCTATTGAGCGAAAAAATATTGATGTTAAATCAGGTTTAAATTAAATTTTCCAAAGACTATGCTTGTTTTCTTCATCTATCAAAAGGAAAAAAAAAAAAAAAACCAACCCTATATTTTGGTATAACTAAGCTATCCTATGTTAAAACAATTCTCAAGTTTCTTCTTTTACGAAAATTTTTGAATTTTTTTTTTCTTTTTTTGTTTTTACTTTCTTCATAAATTAATTTTTTTCAAAAAAATTGTCAAATATTTCCTTTGAGAAAATAATTTTTAGGGGAAAATATAATCTTTAAATTAGCAAAAATAATTTATGTCTAAATTAAATATTTGATAAATTTTAACCAATTATAATTATTAATAATTGAATGTTTGCAATAATCGAAATTATATGTTTAATATGAATGTTTTATAGGAAAATATAAATTACTACATTTTATTTCTTTCTTCTGATGTCAAGATAATTTGTCAAGCTTCAAGCTAACCCCCTCCTATGGAAGGCTAAAAGGTGAACCATTGTCTAATTAAATATGTCATAGGTTAATGAAGCTAGGAAAAAGGAAAAGGAAATGATTAAGATTGGTGAGAATGAATGAATAAAGGGTAGGTTGTAATAATTATAGTAAATGGTATTTTTATTAATATACCGCTACCATTGGATTACATATTTACTTATTAGCATATTCATTTTTCACACTTATAATTTTTAATTATAACAATAATAAATGCTTTATGTGCGCATAATAATCTTTAATAAATGGAATTATTTTATAAATTTTAATTTAAAATTAGAAAAAAAATTATTCTCTAATGTTTCTAAATTATTATTCATTTCATTTAATTCCATTTCATTTTTTTCAAATTAATCGAAAAAATTAAATTATTTTTCAAATATTATACAATGATAAAAAGAAAAAATTAAAAGAAATGAAGAATCAAAAAAATCATTTAAAACTAATATCGATAGTCATTTAATT